ATATGAGTGAATAAATATACCAAGTAATAAATTTCATGGTATTTCAAACTTAAATATATTCATTCATTCATTCATTCATTCATTCATTTATTCATTCATTCATTCATTCATTCATTTTCTCAGCTTAGTCCTTTTATTCACCAGAGTTCGCCACAGCGGAATGAACCGCCAACTTATCCAGCATATGTTTTACACAGTGGATGCCCTTCCAGCTGCAAAAGTACATGGGAAACTAATATATTCCTTCACATTATTCAAACAAGTAGCCTAAATAGCCTGTAAGTAGCAGAGAGCTAATGCTACTCTTCAGTGAGTGTTTTTAAAAGTTGTTAATTGGTACTAACTAATAACAAATACACCAAGTCTGTCGTCTTACCTGTTATTAAATCTGGGAGGGAGCTAAAAGCCACCCAGAAACTGTCGAGCATCATTACAGAGGCTGAAACCCGGCGGAAAGGCAAGATTATCCCTCAGTTCAGGCAGATCAGCTCCATATAGTCGACTGTCGAGCGCTAATTTCAGCCTGTGGGTGTTTATGTGTGTGATCCTCCCTAATGTGGTTGTGCTCAAACCACGGCAGCTGAAAAAACCCTCCTGGAAGCAGAGGAATAATCCTACCCAAACTCTAATAAAGGGGGAAAATAAGTCAAGTCCAAGAAAGTGTTTGTTTTACCCATGAACATTATTGTTGTCAACAAGCTCGACATCTTTCTGCAGGGGATTGACTTTGTATTGTAACGTTATACTGTAAATAGCCAAAGATAAAAGTGTCTAAATGACTGCTTATTTCGACTAAATGATTACTTACAAGCAGAAAAGCATTCCTTTTTGGATTTGAATATATTAACATGAGTCTAGCATGATAAAGCACATTTTTAATTGCGCTTGCAGAGCATATTGCATTGTATATATATATATATATATATATATTATATATATATATATATATATATATATATATATATATATATATATATATATATATATATATATATATATATGTGTGTGTGTGTGTGTGTATAGGTTATATATCCTCCTGAGACCCAAAGATTTTTTTTTCTTTTTTTCTGTGATTTCCTACATTCTTTGGGTAAAAAAAAAAAATCTACAATTTAGAGTTTTTATGTTTTGTTTTTATTTTTAATTTTACAGCATGTCCACTGTAGTGGACAGGACCATTTTAGATCGAAACGACCGCCATTCAGACAACAAAACTGTTCAGGATATGGCTGTAAAGGGATATTAATCCAATATTAATGTAACAAAAACTAAACAAAAGCCATTTTTTCTTTTGTATTGAAATTCCCGAAACAGTTTAGTTTGAAAGAGAGCCGGACTTAAAAAAAAAGTGATGTGAATCCAAAACAAATTTAACATAAATGTGAATTAAAAGTGATTGTCATTCTTTAATTGTCTCTAATTGTCTAATTGTCAGACTCAAGTCAGAGTCTCCCTCAACTATCTTATAAAAAATCCTGTCTGCTTCAGTTCTGCCTCCTACAACATGCAGTCATTAATTACATCAAGATGGTCCTGGTGTCCACTATAGTGGACATTTAAAAAAAGGTGATATTTTGAAACACAAACAAGTTAACAGCTTTGAAAGCTAAATGTATTGTTCCTGACACTTTAAAAAACACACATATATATATATATGTAATAATAATAATATAAAAAAAAAATTAAAAGCTAAATTTTACATGCCTGTCTTCTTCCCATAAAATGTGCTGTTTTGTATGTCAGCCATTTTGGATGCAGTGTAAGAAGTGGTTCCTAGCATGCCAGCCAATCAAATGACATATCACTAGAAAGCCCAGGATGTCCTCTGAACGGTACAACAGGACTTGACAGTGTAGCTAAAACAATTCAAAGAAAATTCATGAAAACACAAAGTCCACTACAGAGGACACAAGTCTCAAGTGGGGTCTCAAGAGGATATATATATATATATATATATACAGTTGAAGTCAGAATTATTAGCCCCTTTGAATTTATTATTTTTTTCAATATATCCCAAATTATGTTTTACAGAGCAAGGAGATTTTCTCAGTATGTCTGATAATATTTTTTTTTTCTGTAGAAAGTCTTATTTGTTTTATTTCGGCTAGAATAAAAGCAGTTTTTAATTTTTTAAAAAACATTTTAAGGTCAATATTATAGAAGTGTCTTGAAAAATGTCTAGTCAAATATTATTTACTGTCATTATGGCAAAGATTAAATAAATCAGTTATTAGAAATGAGTTACTAAAACTATTATGTTTAGAAATGTGTTGAAAAAATCCGCTCTGCGTTAAACAGAAATTAGGGAAAAATATACAGGGCGGCTAATAATTCATGGGGGCTATTAAATCTGACCTCAACTGTACACACACACACACACATACACATTTATAAAAATATATATAATCACATCATTTTACTGAGGAGAGAAAGAGAAAGAAAGAGAGAGAGAGAGAGAGAGAGAGAGAGAAAGTTATGAGCATTATGAGTGGTACTATGTAAAAAAGTTTTAGGAACATTTATACTGAAATAATTATGAGATTATGCGAGTGTATTTTTGTGTATTGAATATTTTATTTTGCATTCAAATTTTACCATTATGAAATTATAAACAATACATATTAATGCGCATGCATAATTTAACGACTTTTAATAGCATTGACATATTATTATGAATATTACAACATTTTTAAAGACAGTTTTCACACTTATTCCCAATTAAATTATTATATAATATCATGTTGCATTTTATTATATTTGGATGAAATGAATTGCACCCAGACAAACACTGTCAATATGTTTTCTCAAACACTGCAGTTTATTTTCTTGCTTCAGGCAAATGAAAATGACTTTGAAAGCATCTGAAAACATCAACTAAACACATGATCTTTAGTTTGACTCACTCTGACACTTATTTAATTAAAATAATTACAACAAAATTACCAAATTACAGCTTAAGGATGCAATTTTCGGTGATATGGTGGCTCAGTTATCACTGTTGCCTCACAGTAAGCCCAGGCTGGTTCAAGCCCCGGCTGGGTCAGTTGGCATTTATGTGTGGAGTTTGCATGTCCCCCCTGTATGGGTTTCCTCTGAGTGCTCCAGTTTCTCCCACAGTCCAAAACACAGACACTATAGGTGAATTGAATAAACTAAATTGGCCGTAGTGTATGTGTGTGAATGAGAGTGTATGAATGTTTCCCAGTACTGGGTTGCAGCTGGAAGGGCATCCACTGTGTAAAATAGATAAATTAGCGGTTCAGTCCGGCTGATGAATGAAGGGACTAAGCTGAAGGAAAATGAATGGATGCAATTTTTAACCTGTTCACTTGCATCAAAAGGCCTCAGAGATTTAATTGACAGTTACAATGAAGAATCAGCAAGAATCTACACAAATGAGAAATAGACTCTCGCAGGCAGAGATTAACGTGTGTGTGTGTGTGTTAACTGCTCTTTAATCGAGCCCCTGCACATCTGTGTCCACTCTGTGCACCGACTGAAATAGAAGGGGAGTGAAGGTTGGCAAACAGCTCTGTCATTTAAATGATAAAAATACCAGTGGAGCCGGGAGGAGCCACCGCTGGAAGCACAGGCGGCATGGAGGAACATTACAGAGAAGTAAACCACAGCAGCCCTTCTTCAGTCTCTTTTACAGGAGAAACACAAGCCCTCAGCATAGAACCCATGTTCAGAACCAATTAACTAAATACAGCTTAAACTAGCTTAACATGACTTCTAACTTAGCTTAAGATAGAAAGAGTGGCCAAACCCATTCAAAACCAGGATTATATGAACCTGGGAGACTGGGAAAAAGCAAAGCAAATTCAGGAATTTAAATAATAAATATATAATATTATATATTTATCATTATGTTTTTACTTAATTGGTAAAATAGTTTTTTTTTTTAAATCACATTGTTTTACCGAGGAACAGGTTGTTCACTAAAGGGAATATTGCATCTTTAGAATCATTAGTTCGTAAATTACGAATCAATATCGCTTAATTCGCGGACGTTAATCGTTTAAATATCGCGGGCAAATTAACGAAATTCTGTCGTCGTCATGGAAACGCGCGTGAGGGCGATACAAACATTACAAACGGAGGTTTGTTTGACGATCGTTTTTAAGCACAACAAACTTCAGTATTGTGAGAAACAGGTCGAGAACGCTTTAGGTTCAGGTATGTAATTCTTTAAGTATTTAACTGACCATGGTTTTACTATATAAAAGTAGTTTAACCATGGCATTTTAAAAACGGGCTATAAAAGTGCTAATAGCAGCAAGGTTACAACACATTTAACGTTAGCTACTAAGGAAACCAGGATTCATTTTGGTAAGAGAATATGACGGCCATCACATATGAAGATCACATATTTCTGTAGTTAACTTATTGACAACATTTGAATAAAATAAACGGCCACATTACAAAGAACTGGCTAAGTTAGGCAGCAAATGTTCACAATTGAATCATTTTCTGTGCAATTTCTATGTTAGTCCAGATTACTTGAATAAGTGTGAACACTAATGTTCAAACATTTTGCCACATCAAACCCTTAAAAGAGGACCTGATGTGAAAATTTGCAACAATAAAAAGGACAAATGAGGCATAGCTCAAATGTAAATGTTTGTTCTGTTACACATTTTTAAAGTTCTTAACTCATAAAAATAACCTCACGTATGCACTATAGATTGCTACTTTTTGGGGGATTTTCAAAAAGATTTGCCTCACATTAGGATGAAAACCCTTCTACATTTCAGACCAGATGCTAAGTTTCAGAACACACATCACAGACGTAATTTTTGTCATGTGAACACACCCTAAAATTCAATAAATATCAGTTCATAATACTGTTAACATGCATTTTCCCTGTTTCTGTAACATTCAGTATACAGCATATGCTTTTGCATACAACTAATTACCATTTTGACCATACTGTAATTGATTATTTAATCCCATAGGAGACAGAAATCTGTTTAAAGAGACACAAGTGAAAAAAATCTTGAGGATATTAAATATTTTATTAAATACTACAGAGCCAATTTACTTCATAAAATAAAATTGAGGATTAGTTATACAGTACATGGACATGAATTAGGGAACAAAACAAACTAAATAATGAGAAATTCACACAGCCAAGGAAAATAACATGCTGATAAAGTCGAGAGGGATGAACAGTCCAGAAGGTTTGGAGGTGGTGGTAGGTTTGCTCGAGTTGCTCTGTCTACCTGCTGAAGAGCTTCATGAAGCTCTGGAATCCATCCTCACCGAAGAAATCAAATGTTCCCTCTGAGCTTCCCAGATGCACCAGAAGCAGGACCAGCAGACCCAACACCAGAAGCGGAATCAAGAGGTTCCAGCCCGAAGCAAGAATGTTGTACCACTTGGCCTTGTCTGAGCATTCCTGCGCTGCACGCATGTCACCCAGGGTCTTCTGATCTCGAGCCTGAAACATGGAAATCAGAGTATGATTTTAGCACATAAACTTCTTAAATATAGAGGATTCAATTATCAAGACGTTATAAAAAATGTCCTTGAAAAAAGGTTCTTATAATCTTAAAAATGGTTCTTAAGTGGTATCTCTAACCTCAATGGAAAATGTATTTTTGACTGCATTTAGACTCTTAGAAAAAGTTTATTATTATTATCCTAAAATGATTTTTCACATTAAACATTTTAAAGAATGTTCTTCTTTGCACTTAGTGTAGGGAAATGTATTTGAAACCCTTATTTTTAAGAGTATCCATTCCTAATATGGTTTCTGAGGTGCCCTGGGGTTCTTCAGAGATTAAACAGAACTAAAATAAAAGTTTCAAAAGGGGATTCTGCAGCAGTAACCTAAATGACCAGTTCTTAATAGAAGCGTGTTTTTTTGTGTAAAGAATTAATTAATAATCTAAAGAACATTTTTATTACATGTTTTGCTATTGATGATTCCTTAAAGAACCCTCAACATAGAACTTAAAAATAAGAATGTTTCTTAGATTACTAAAAATTCTCTTTACACTTTGCTCTCAAAAATAAAGTTTTAGTTTGTTTGTTTGTTTTGTCAGTGACAAGAACCTCAACTTTTTATTCGACAAATAGCTTGTTCCAAAAAGATAAAAAGAAGAAAAAAAGAAAGTTATTTTATGGTTTCCCAGTGAAAGCTCTTTTTCAGAAAGGACGTTTGAAGAAACCAAAATAGCCCTTCTGACATCACTATGGGAAACACATTTTGGACCTTTTATTTTAAGGTGTAGAACCTTTTGTTTTCATGGATATAAAAGGTTCTATGTGGAACCATTTATGCCAATCTAGAACCTTGATTGTTCCTAAATCAGATTGTCAGAGTAATGTCGTTAAAATAATTTGTTTCCCCAAAAGACACTTTTAGTAAAAGATAATTTTCCACTTTTAATAATCCATGAATGATAAAAGTTTACTTACAGACCATCAATTGGCAAAAAACAAAACAAGAGAGAAGTGTAAATTTCTCGAACAAAACAGAAAAGAGAAGTGTAAATTTCGCAAACAAAACAGGAGAGAGAAGTGTAAATTTCTCAAACAAAACAGAAAAGAGAAGTGTAAATTTCTCAAACAAAACAGGAGAGAGAAGTGTAAATTTCTCAAACAAATCAGAAGAGAGGAGTGTAAATTTCCCAACAAGTTTCTGGCTTCTCTAAAGCAATAGCAGATGCTTTTCTGAACAATCCCACGGAATTGACAGAAACATTACCATTCATAAAACCCTTTATTTTTAAAAAATCCTAATAGTGGATTCTTTTAAATTTGTTAAGTTCAGTTAAGGATTCTTTAAGGATCAAAGATGGTTCTCCAATGACACCACTTCAAAAATCCTGCACTGTTCAAAACATGTCTTCCATGGCAATGGTCCATTTTCAGCGTTAATCAGAGCTTTTCATCATGTGACCTTCAGGAGTATTCATAAAAAATAAAAATAAAAACTTTTGAATGAGCCACAAAACAGATGAAGATATCGGTGCTGAAGCTCACCTTGATGGAGTAGATCAGAGCCATGAAGCCCAGGCAGCAGAAGTTGACGTAAAGAGTGTTGCAGAGTGACCAGACCAGGTAGTCATTTGGTGGCTTCTTGCCCGCATGGCTCATGTTGACCACCGTGGAGCCCCCAGCCTTACGGCCGGCCTTACAGTTGGTGAGCGGAGTGCAGTCGTTCACGTAGCTGTACGTGGCGTTATCCATCCTGGAGATCAGCGGTCCAAACTCCTGGAAGAATACTGAGGAGAAAGATGAAGACTCTACTTATACAACACTGCAGATAGGTGGAGTCGCAGAGATGGAGAGAGCGAGAGAAGTCATTCATTATGTGGTTGTGTTGCTACAGAGATCAGGGCAGGGAGCTGCTTCTAAAGATGGACCCGTTTCGACAAAATCTCTAGGTTTGACCAAAAAAAATGCACAATTTAAATGTCAACAGACTATATGTACCAAAAAAAAAAAATAATAATAAATCTAAATAGATGCATATCAATATAAAAATTACAGATATATTCACTTATACCTCACTTAAAATCACTTGCAAGTTTATAAAAATGATCATTTAGCTTTTAAAAAAATGTGACCATACCAGACTTCTGCTTCCTTTATTTTATGGGGAGTTTAAAAGGGCTTTTCACTCTCTTCATTAGAAGGAAACTACAGACAGGAGGTTTTACATAGCCATACATGAACATCAACAGATCCGGAACACCTAAGACTAAATATTTAGGAAACATAAACAAAGAGAGATGTTTATTTTGAGGACTATAGTATTCCGTTAACATTATCTGCGGATCCGATGTGAGAAAATGGCGCCCTCTTCTGAGGAAACACTGAAAACAGAAAACGCTTTACATGAATTTCAGTATTTTTCTTTGATTCAATTGTAGTTACAAAGGATGAAAAAAATATAGAGTAGTCAACATTTAAAGGGGACCCTAAGACAAGAATAGGTGGTGATCAGTAATGTTAGAAATTTAATTCAGAATCATGTTTTTTGGCACATACTCTGCCTCAAAAGGCTTTAGATTAGATTTTTTTTTTTGTGCAATTAACTTCTATTTCTCCATAGTTTAGATCCGAGATGCCCAAACTAGGGCCCACAGGCCAAAGTTGGCCCATGGTAACCTTCCATTTGAGATCGTCAATTCAAATTTACTGTAAGCCTTTGTTTGTTTTATTGTTAAAATCTGACTGAATTGAAATGTTTCAAATAAATGGTGTAAATTAATCAGATTTTGTTTAAATGTACATACTGTCACCCGACAATGTCGAGACTTTGGGGAAATCAAGTCAAAGAATCAAGTCAAAGAACTAGTGCATTTAGCATTGAACACCACTGTGTTGTGAATGTGATTATGTATTTACTGCAATAAGTTATCATTTAAAACATATTGCATTAGTTAATATGAATTAAAGTAATGTTTTCTGTTTATTTTGAAACGTTATTAAATAAATCAGGAAATTACCCATGGTAACTTTATTGTAATATAGTTTTGTATATTTACCTTCGGCCCCTCAGATTCTATCCGCTTGTTAAGTGGTGACGCGTTTGTGACGTATGTAATACTGTTTCCGGGTCCAAGTCGCCATTCATTTGAGTGGAGAAATCATTTGTTTATGATCACGTTTTATTCCTATCACACATTAGAGTAAATTGTATATAAAGTCATAGTGTACACAACAATCTCTGGGCTTGCTGCATAACAAATACCAAAATTTCACAATTTATAAAAAACTTAATCACTTTCTGGCCATCGGATATTAGGCATGGACATATATACTGTGATCGTGATTTTCGAAAGTATTAAATCGCTTTGTAAACGTTTATCTTTACCATTTCATGAGTCTCCAGTTCAGTTGAACAGAGCGCTTGGACCCGGAAGCCGCTTCGTGTGACGTCACACTTAACAAGCGGATTGTTACTATTATTTTGTGATTGTGTAAGTGTTTCACTGCATATCATATGGTGTATGACATAAGATTTGAATTTGACAAAAGGTTTTGATCCACCAAATGTTGAATATTGTATTAATATGAAAGATATAGGTTTTCAGTGAATTTCTTAAACATTTTAAAATGGAAAACAATACAATGAAAATAAAGTTCAAATGAATCCACAACTTAGTCACTGAGATTAAATATTATCATTTATTAATTACAAAATGACAAAACGAGTTACATTCATATTATGAGAACCGAATTATATTCAGTCAAGGCAGAAAGGACGGCAAACATTCATTCCATCTTAATTCAGCTTAAAAACTGCATAAGTAGCCAAGGTTTTTAGAAATTGTGGAGAAAAAAAATCAAGTGTCATACAGCATTAAACTAAACAGTTGCTTTGATTCTCAGATTATTATTGGCTATTCTACATTTCACAGAAATCAAAATGCAGAAAGATACTGAAATAGGCTGATTTAGTTTGGATTAGCTCAAATCTTTGTATGCAAAGGCCCCCATTTTGCTTGAAGGCATAAATCAAGATTAAGGAGTCAGTGTTGCATTTGCTAAGATCACTTGTGTTGTCAATTGGCCATATTAGATATGTCTGCATTTCTAAACCATATATGGAATGAATTAGGCATTATAACACTATATCACACTCTATAAGAGAATGAATCTGTGTGTGTGTGTGTGTGTGTGTGTGTAGTGGGACGTCACTTTGTAATCACATCTTAGAAGCTGCAGCCACAGCAGACGCTCCACCACGTGAATAAACATGAACAGTGTTCTGGAGAGAGAAAAAACACATACATACCAGTGTTATTTTCTAAATATAACACTGTAATTGCGAATAACCTGACAAGACTTTTGCTTATTTTTTTATATAATAGTTTGATAGTTCACAATTTAGACTTTCAGTTTTAAATATTTTTATCCCATGGTAGAATAAGCTACCATATTTTAGAGCAACTGAAAATAATATTACTAAGGGCTTTTATTAATATTATTATTTAGATTTTTCGCTTTTACTTTAAGGTTTGGCATTCATCTTTTGTCATTCATATTAATTTTATAAAATTTACCATTGTGTGTTTTGTTAGTTTTGGTTTTTAGTTCTTTTAGTATTTAGAAGTCACAAATTGCGGGAAGTACTGCTGAAAGTAGTTTAGAAATGACAAGTAAATTCACAAATTATGATATGTAAACTTAGAAATTATGTTACAAAATGCGAGAAGTCATCTTTTGAATTGAGTAGTCAACTCAGAAACTTTAATATGCAAACTTATGAAAAGTAAACTAGCATGTTAACCTACAAGTTGCAAGTAACTCACAAAATGCGAGAAGTAAACTTAATACCTGCTAGAAGAAACATATACATTGCAAGAAAGTCACGAACTGCGAGAAGTAAAGTCACGAACTGCGAGAAGTAAAATCACGAACTGCAAGAAGTAAAGTCACGAACTGCGAGAAGTAAAGTCACGAACTGCGAGAAGTAAAGTCACGAACTGCGAGAAGTAAAGTCACGAACTGCGAGAAGTAAAGTCACGAACTGCGAGAAGTAAAGTCACGAACTGCGAGAAGTAAAGTCACAAACTGCGAGAAGTAAAGTCACGAACTGCGAGAAGTTTGTAAAAAACAGTCAGATAGCTATAATCAGGATGTAGACTAAATAACACAGTAAAAAAAAATATTGCGATTAATGAAAATGCTCTTCAGTACATTTTACAAGAAAATATAATTTCCATCTTTCTGTTCAAAATAGGAATATAATGTGTTACTTGCTGTATCTTCGTAATTAATAACAAAATATAAACGGTTTCTACATTGCCGTGTACATTAAAGTGTATGAGACTGATTAAAATGTTTTCTACCTTTTTCCCTTCAGCGTTGTGTTTATCCAGGAGAGCCTGAACTCGGTTGCCATAATCAGAGTGAACAGCCATCAGGTTTTGCACCTGTAAAAATGACAAAAATCCACCTGAATCCTCTAAAATCAAGCAGTGTATTATTTTCCAGGCCTCCCATCAATGTGACCTAAAAATGTCACAGACTCTAAAACAAAAGATCATACCATGCGTTTCTGGATGAAGAGTTGAGCTCCTTTCAGATGCCCGGCCATATTCTGGCACAGACGCTCTCTCTCGGCTTCATTTAGCACCTGAGTGAAGAACGTGCGCACCTGCAGGATGGATCAGAGAGAGACGTATTATACTTCACTATACTTGTGACTGTCTGTACACAGATACACTTTCAGCAACACACTTGGGTCACGTTGTCATCGTCTGCGCTGTTGTATCGGGCCACATCAGGAGACACTTTACACTTTGACTCAAGGAAGCGTGGCTGGACGTCAGGAGCACTGAAGCTGTTGGGGTAGTAGTTTGGAGCTCCACCTACAGGACAGAACAGGAACTGGTTTATCTTTTAACACAAACTGCAAGATCAAGGCTTACAGAAGGTAAGGTTTTACTTTAGATGGATGCTAAATATTTAATGTATTTTCGGTATTCTGGCTTTTGGCTTGCAATTACAAGTTTCATAACTGTAGGTTATAAATTTGAAATTCAATTTTTTCTTTTGCAAGAAGTAAAATCTTTGCCAAAAGTAAATTTAGAATTGTGAGAACTAGCAAAAAAATAAAAATATTGTGAGATGCAAACTAAATAAATCTTAGATTTGCAAGAAATTGCCATATGCAACCTCGGAACTTGCATAAAGTAAACTTACAAACTGTGATGTGTAAACTCAGAAATTATGAGAAGCAGCTCTTGAATTGTGAAAAGAAAACCCAAAAATTGCAATATGTAAACTTGTGAAAAGTAATCAATAAAAAAAAAACAAAAAAAACAAAACCCTCACAAATTGCAAAGTAATAACTCACAAATTGCGCGAAAGTAAAAAAAAAAAAACTCACAAATTGCGAAGTAAAAAACTCAGGAATTGCAATAAAGTAAAAAATAAAAAAAATTCACAAATTGCAAAGTTAAAAACTCAGGAATTGCAATAAAAGTAAAAAAAAAATAATAAAAAATTCACAAATTGCAAAGTTAAAAACTCAGGAGTTCCACGAAAGTAAAAAAAAAAAAAAAAAAAAAAAAAAAAAAAAAAACACGAATTTTAAAGTAACAAAAAAAACCCCAAAAAACTTATGAATAATACAAAAAGTAAAACACATACAAAATTGCAAAGTAAACTTAATTGCACTAAAGTAAAAAAAAAAAAAAGTGTGACTTAAAAATCACATATTGTGCAAAAGTAAAAAAAAAAAAAGTAAAATAAAAAAAATTGCGC